CAGGGGCAGGGCCTGCCAGCTATGCAGAGACCCGTGGGGGGAGGAGGGACTCAGAGCCCAGGCTGGTGCAAGTACCAGGGAGCCAGGCCCAAGAACGAGAATTTATGGTGCTCACACACCTGCCATCATCATTTTCGCTGTCGCTGCTGATGCCATTAGTCAAGCACTAATGGGCTTAAATTTCACCTTAAACTCTCCCCACTGTCCTCAGCAGATGACAAACGCCGTGTGTCCTGCTGTGCGAGCTGCTGGGGGCTCTGCAGACACTGCCCCTCCTCTTCTGACAGCCTCTGGCCCCAGGGAGAGGCTCTCAGCCGCCCAGGCCTGGGGACACGCACAGGTCAGGGGAATTCCTGGGGGTCTCTGGGAGCCCCGGGGGGCAGGGTGCAGGAAAGGGGGCTTCTAGGGGTGCTTCGGAGGATCTGGAGTGACGTGGCATGGGAGGTGGGCTCCAGGGCCCAGTGCCCCCCCCATGTGGTGTGAGCAGGCTGTGCCACTCCGGTTCCCCAGCCCAGGGCATGAGAGGCAGCGGCAGAGCGGACCCCAAGAACCAGCTGCACTTTTCTGAAAAGTCTGGGGAATCGCGTTTGCTCAGACCAACGGAAACAGCAGTGGCTTTCCTTGGGGGTGGAATTCCATTCCACCCGCCCACCAGCCACCCGGGCGCTCATTCAGCTGACAAACCTGGCCCACAAGCCCCTGGTTGCTCTTGTCCATCAAAGGCTCCAGTGGCTGTTGGAGCCGCATCAGAGAAGACAAGTGGGTGATCTCTAAACGTAGTTTGCTTGGGAGACAGAATCCTTCCAGGGTGGCTGGTGGGGTGGAAGGGACGTGACCAAGGCGCTCGGGCCGTGGGCGTGGCGTGGACTGCTGGCCCATCTGGTCCATGAGGGCTGTGTTTGCCGGGAAAGGAGGGGACGGGACAGGAATGCAGATGGAGCTACAGCAGAAGAAATACAGGTCAGGCTGTGGGGTTTCCCTGCTGTTGGCTCACGTCCATGGCCACTGCCCACAGCCCTTGGTTCCCATGGGGGGCCAGTGGCCTGGGATCTCGCGGGACCTTATTTGCCATCAAAGCCGGCCGTAGGGACTGGTGCTCAGCGCCCTTTTCCATGGGAATCTCCCTCCCAGGCCTCCAGCATTGGCCTCTCATCACTTGAACAGGAGGCCTGTCCCTGTCCCCGCAGGGAGGAGGGAGGAGGCTGGCTCAGGTCTGGGGGGAGGGGGGGGTTCAGAGGTGCGACCTGCCCCCTAAGGGTGTTGACCCTGCCCTTAGGAACTGGAGGTTTGGGAGAGGCAGCCCCTCCGGCCAGTTGGAAGCTGGGGCTCAGAGAAGCCCTGAGGGTCTTCCTCTTCGCCCACCAGTATTAGGACTGGCTGTGGAGCCCCGAGGGGCTCTGCCTGACATTCCTCTGCAGCTCTCACCCCTGCCTGGCTTCCTGGCTGTTCTCTGGGAAACTGTCCCAGCGACTCCTCACTGGCTCCTCCGGCCTCCATTCTCCGTCGCTGAGCACCGTCTGTTGGTGCCGCTCATGCCCTAGCCTACCCTCGATGGCTTCCCACGCTCACAGCACAGAACATCACCGTGAACTTCACCGTGGCCTCCAGAGCCTCGCACCACGTGGACCTGCCCAGTGGTTATCTCCTGCCCCTCACATTCCCCTTGCGAACCACATTTATTGCCCTCCCTCTCCTTCTCTCCTGCCTCCCAGGGCCTTTCCCTTTTCCCTCACTAATTCCTCCCCTCTCTCAGGTCTCGGGTGAAGACCTTGGGAAGCCCCCTCTGGGAAGCTCTCTCTGAGCCCGTTCCCACTCAGGCGTGACTCGGGGACCTTCCCCACGCGCCAGGAGGCTCAGCCACAGCTACCTCGCTGTTCAGTCCTAGCACTTGTGTGGCACACGGGAGGCACTTAGTAACTGCGCCAAATGGATGGATAGGAGGATGGATGGATGGATGGATGGATGGATGGATGGATGGGTGGGTGGGTGGATGGATGGATGGATGGATGGATGGATGGATGGATGGATGGATGGATGGATGGATGGATGGATGGATGGATGGATGGATGGATGGATGGATGGATGGATGGATGGATGGATGGATGGATGGATGGATGGATGGATGGATGGGTGGGTGGATGGATGATGGGTGGATGGATGGATGGGTGGGTGGGTGGTTATGTGGGAAGGTAGATGAAGAGGCCATGTGATGTGTGAGGAGAACCCGTAGGCACCAGGAAGTAGAGTTGTGAGCCTTAGGCAAGTCCATGCCTCAGTGAGCCTCAACTTCCCTGTCTATAAAATGGTCTGCCAGTCCGATGGCTAGAAAGGAGGTTCAGAGTGAGCTGAGTGAAGGCGGAGGCCGGGGGGTCAGGTGCTCCAAGGACAGACAGAGTCTGGGACAACACACATGTTCCCCGAGTTCCGCAGTCCCCAAAGTTCCCTATCTCCAGGGGAACACTGATGCCCACCGTTTTAAAAATCTCCACCCAAGGATATGTTCTTATTGATTTTTTAAAAAATATATATTTTATTGATTTTTTACAGAGGGGAAGGGAGAGGGATAGAGAGTTAGAAACATCGATGAGAGAGAAACATCGATCAGCTGCCTCCTGCACACCCCCCACTGGGGATGTGCCCGAAACCAAGGTACATGCCCTTGACTGGAATCGAACCTGGGACCCTTGAGTCTGCAGGCTGACGCTCTATCCACTGAGCCAAACCGGTTAGGGCTGTTCTTATTGTTTTTAAGAGAGAGAGGAAGGGAGGGGGGGAGAGAGAGACATCAATGTGAGAGAAACATTGATCGGTTGCACCTCGAACCTGCAACCCAGGTATGTGCCCTGACTGAGAATCGAACCCGCAACCTTTTGGTGCACAGGACAGTGCTCCACCAGCTGAGCCCCCGGCCGGGCTGATGGCCCCGTTCTTGCTTGTGCCCAGGACCCCTGCCCCAAGGAACAGACTTCATCCCAGATGCCGCTGCTCACCAAGAACCCCTGGCCTGCAGGCCTGGATGTGCCGTCTGCACAGTGGGGTGCTCATGTGTTCCTGCAGTTCCTCGGGATTAAGATGAGGCAGAGCAGGAGGCACTCTGGATGCCCAGACACAGAGGGACCCAGGAGATATGGCCTAAGAGTGACTGATGCCCTAATGCAGCGGTTCTCAACCTGTGGGTCGCGACCCCTTTGGCGGTCGAACGACCCTTTCACGGGGGTCGCCTAAGACCATCCTGCATATCAGATATTTACATGACGATTCATAACAGTAGCAACATTACAGTTATGAAGTAGCAACGAAAATAATTTTATGGTTGGGTCACAACATGAGGAACTGTATTTAAAGGGCCAGAAGGTTGAGAACCACTGCTAATGCCTGCCATGAGGGTCGCCCTCAACCACAACACAGTGCTCCCCCTGGGCCTTCCTACTTTGGCCAAAGTTGCCTCCAGAACTGAGTGTGAAGCTTCCAAATCCCAGGCCTGGCCCCACAGCCGTGGATAATAATAATAATAATAATAATAATAATAATAACAACATTAGGCCTTTCCTTACCTACCTGTCCCAGGGCTTCCCTGCAGGCAGGTTACAACGTGCGGCCTGCGGAGAAGGGAGCGGGCTCTCTCACAGAAGCGGAGTGTGAGGCGTGGCCGTGAGCGTGATGACGACACAGGGTGCTTATGTCCATTTTCTCACTGGTTCTCTGGTCAACCCTGTGAGGTGGATACTGACCACTCTCCCCGGCGAGGGGGGCGACTCACCGGAGGTCACACAGAACGTCCGTGGCAGGGCCTCGGGGACTGGATGTTCTTTCCAAAGACCCAGGAGGCTCTGGTCTGGAAAAGCCAGCATGAGACAGGGTGGACACAGGTGCCTTTCTGAGCCTCTTTCCACGGGCCTGGGGCTGCAGGGGCCTCCTGCCAGCTGGCCAAGTCTGTCCCACCGACGTGCCAGCTCGGGAACACAGGTGCTCGGGCCTGCTCTGGCCACCGCCCGCTGGGCCTCGGGGCCAGGATAGCCGGGGAGGAGGCCAGAGCCAGGTTCCTGCCGCTCCAAGGAGCCCCGCCTTCCTGGCCCCACCACGACCAGCTAGGACCAGGACAAGGATTTTCCTGAACTTTCTCTGTGTTATAAAAAGGTATATTTACTTTTTAAGACCAGCAGCTCACTTATTGGCCTTTCTCTGCCAGGCATGGCTCGGATGACTCTGTCCATGATCTCATCTAATCCTTACACCCCCTCTGAGGGACAGACTCTCACTCCTGTTTCACAGATAAGGAAACTGGGGCATGGATGCTGGGGTCACCTGCCCAGGCACCACAGTTTGGGGGTGTCCAGCAAGGGTTTGGCCCCAGATATTCCTGCACTGTCTATCAGCCGCGCCCTTACAGCCCGAGCCCCAGGCCCGGGGTGGCCTCTGCTGTTAAACTGCATAAGGGTGGCCTCTGTTCCGATGACTCAAGGGAAATGTGTAACAGAGAGGATGGTGACCTGTAAGAGCAAAAGCAGGCCCCGAGCGCTGGGGCTGTGGTTGTCAACAGCCCTGGTGGCAACGGCTGGCCATACAGCTCAGGGCTCGAGCCAGTCCTGGCTTGTGTGTCCCCCAAGACTGTGCCCCGGGAGTGAGGCCACAGCCTGTGTGGGGTGGGGCCTCAGTTTCCTCACCTGTGAAATGGGGGATGGCTCCTGTCCTGCCCGTTGTCCCGTGCAGGATGAAGGTGGGTTGACTCCTCTTGGCATCTGGGACTCCTCCCTTCTTACCCGTGAAGAAACAGGTCCCCCCTGGCCTAGAGCCAGACAGCTGTCCGGTGGCTGTGCCAGAGGGGAGCCTGAAGCAGCCTCCTTCTTCAACCATTTGTCCATCGAAGTGTTGAAACCTTTACCAGGTGTCAGGTGGTCATGATTCAAAAAAGATCAAGGTCCCTCCTCTTTCACGCAGTGGGGCCTCTGCACTTTCTACACTGCGCCCCTCACCCACCTCGAGGGTGCACCCGGCGATGCCCGAAGCCCTGCCTCCCTCACCAGCACTTCACTGTGAGGGACCCCCGAACGCACTTCCCTCCGCCTCTCAGTGGCCGTCGGGGACACCTGATTTCTGCTTCATCGCAACCGCAGTTCATCGCCCTGTGCCGGCGTCTGTGTCTGGCTGGGAGCAGGCCTGCTGGGTAGAGGCATCTGTAGTTTTTGGGGGTCCATATGGCCAAAAACTCTCCGAAGAGATTTACTGGTGTACCCCCACATCCCCAACTGGACCAGCCTAGCCCGGTAGATGCAGGATGCGTATCCGTACCCAGTCTATGCCCAGAAAAATCAAATGGGTCATTTCCCCAAAGGAAATCCTCCAAGGCCGGCACGCTTAGGGGCCAGGCCAGGGAGCACCGGAGTCTGGCCCTTCGCCCTGCACCCCGACCAATGACGGGGCTCGGCACTGGGCTTCAGGTCTCTTCGTCATAAATCAAGGGCGCTAACGCTGCCTGCCCCACGGCTGTCATGAGGATGAGATTTGTAGACGCAAAGCGCTGACCAGGACAGTGCCTGGCACCTACGGCGAGTGTGAACTGGCTGCTACTCATTTAGTCTGGGTAAGCCTTGTCCCCCAGGACCGGGGCCTGGGTCAGAGGTGTGACACCTTCTAAAGGGGTCAGGGAAGGGGAGAGGGGATGGGGAACCAGCAAGAAAAAGCGTGGGATCATCGTTTCCCAGCTTCCCACTCTCCTGATGGGGACACAGAACCAGGAGGCATGGACATGACGTGATTGCAAGCTTCCCAGAGTGATGCTGCCAGGAAGCTGTGCCGAATGCAGAGTCCCAGGCACCACACAACCAGCTGTGAGGGATGCTGAGCCCAGCCCCCAGGACGCAGGGGCCCGAGGGCCGGATGGTTGAGATCTTGCGGCCCGTAGTGACCCACAGGCCAGCAGTGTCGCCTTCCCTGGGAGCTTTTTAGATTGCAGAACCCCAGGCCTGACTCCACAGCAGTCTGCCCCGCACTAAGATGTGCGCACTAGCTGTGAGCAACACTGACTCCAGTGGGAGAGGGGCCTTAACCTTCAGTCCCAGCAGCCCTCCCCAGCTCTGGGGTGTCATGTCCCTTCTAAAGCCCTCCGGAAGACCTGCTCTGTCCCAGACACCTGCCGGCCCTGGGAGTCAGAGTACAAGACTGGGTCCTCGCCTCCAGCCCCCACTGGAGCGCCGAAAGGTACTGCCCTTCACTGAGCCTCCACCAGGTGCCAAGCACAGTGCCTCATTCCGGCTCAGGATAACCTGTCAGCGTGGTGGTAATCAGCAGGTTTTGGCTGAGGAACAACATGACACTCAGAGAGGTGAAGCAATAGTGTGCAGAGCCGGGATTTGAACCCAGAGCTGTGTGGCTTCGAGGCTTTCGGCAGAGTTAGGGTTAGGGTTAGGGTTAGGGTTAGGGTTAGGGATGCAGCAGGGGGCAAATGAGCCTCCCCTCATGTCTCATGTCTCGCGACAACCAGCACCTGTCAGTCCTCACAACTGGCCGGCCTGGCGGTGGTGAATCTGACATCTCTATGGCTCCCGGTCCCACAGGCCTGCCACTCTCCTGCCAGCACCACGGCACCAGCCAGGAGGGGACATCCTGCACCTGTTCAGAGCAAGTGAGCCCTGGGGGCAGGCGGCGTCCGCAGGCAGCTGGAGAGGCTCCCCCAGATGTGGAGTGACTGGAAGCCGGGGAAGGGGGGGGGGAGCTTCTGGAGGTTTGGTGCAGTTGGAGATGGGCCTGGGAAGAGCGAACAGCCTTTAGCTGGGGACAAACACCACTGCACGGGATGCTAGCAGGACCCGTCACCTGGGTCAGACAGCCGGACGGACGCACGCCCCCGCCTGTGCTCTGAAGCACCTCCACACTGCACTGCTCTGAGCAACCCGCCAGGAGGAGGCGGCAGCCGAAACCCAAGGCTCCCGCTGCCTCTGGAACAGCTGCTAGTGGTTCGCTTTCCCCAAGGGTTAGTGCTTCTGGGCACCAGGCTGCATGTCTGGGGGGCTGGCAGGGTCCACCCCCACCCAGGAGAGCCGGGGGCAGGCCTTCGCTGCAGCGGGTGGGCGAGGGAGCCAGGAGGACGAGGTCCCAGCTGCTCAGGGACAGGGTCCTCCCCCCCTGAACGCAGCTGAGACGGAGAACCCTTCCCAGAATAGTGGCCGTCTCAGTCTCTGTGGGGGGAGGAGGTAGATGCCCACCCAAAGCTGCTCAATGTACATGGCTTGTAATTTCGTCATCAGAACAGCTGCACATTTGGAAGGGGGTGGTGCATGGCTGGGGGGCTCCCATTTGGGCTGCAGATGACGAATGGGCCTGTGTGGCTTCACACCGTGCCTGCCTGCGACCCAGGAGCCAGCCCCTGGCTGGGACGCTCCTGGGGGCAGGAGAGGTGCCTCAGGCAACTAGATCTGCAAGAGGACGCAGGTGGGGAGTGTGGCCGTGACGCCTCTCTCCAGCTCCCCACCACACCAAACACCCTGCCCCCCAACCAGTTTTCTTAAATTTCCGAAGGAGCAAACCAGAACCTCACTGTCCTCTACCTGCCTCCCTCAAGCCCCAGGCACCTCCCTGATGCCCAGCTGCTGAAAGAGCAAACAAGCTTGAGGCCCTACGCACAGGGCCCAGAGCGGCCCCTTCCCACTGTGGCACTGTTCCAGGTCTGGGATGAGAGGTGACGTCACCTCCTAGAAGGGCAGTTTGAGGATTAGAAATAAAATCTATCAAGGCACCTTGGCTGCAGGAGAGGACCAGACAGTATGCTGACGCTGCTGCTGCTGCTGTTATACCCACAGTCTGAGGGTTACTGAGAACTTTCTAGATCCGAGGGAGGCCCCAGGCTGGTGTGTGGGCTGGCTGGGGGTTGGAGCCCCCTGAGAACCTACCAGCCCGCCTATGTGCTCAGGGGCCCTCTCTCCCCCTCTCTCCTGACCCACCTTGCCTTCAGAGCCGCTGGGCCCAGCAGGTGGCCCAAGGGTGTCACCAGACAAGCCCAGTGCAGCTGCTGTTCTCACATCTGTATTCCACATGCCTCTCTCCTGCCCCCAACCCATCAGGCTTCTTGCCTCTGGCAATCCAGGCCAGAGGCCTTGGGGGGTGCCCTCCCCGCCTCCCTCCCCCCAGCAGCTAAGCTGGGGAGAGAAATCTAGGTTCCCAAGAAGGTTGTGTTCTTTCCTGCCACTGAGCCAGGCAGCCCTTTGCGGCTGGAATGCCTTTTTCCTTCCTTCGCAGCCCACACTTCCTCCGTCCCCCTTTCGCAGTGGGTGTCTCTCACCCCACCTCGTTCAGGAGGGAGGTGCTTAGGGGCCAGGCTGTGGGTCGCCAGCATCGGGCACGTAACAGAGTCTGGGAAATGTCAAGCGACTGATTGAGTCAAAGCCTGCAGGGGTTCTGCTGGCCCTCCTTGGGGAGGACGGGCTGGGGTTTGGGTGGGTGGCCTTTGGCGAGCAGGGTAATGGGAGTGGACATGAACTTCCTGCTGTCTCATTCCCCTGAGGAAGGGGGCGGAGCCTGAGCTGCGGGGCCTGAAGGGGAAGGGGCTGGGAGGGAGGGTCGAAGGTGGGCAAAGAAGGAGAAGCGGGGGAGAGGCCTCCCCGTGCGCCCGGGCGCGGCGCGGTCGGTGTTGGCCTTCGAGCTGGTGTGCCAGCCGCTGCTGTTCAAATGCTGTTTGTTTGGAGCAGCTTAGGGAGGAGGCTGGAGGTGGGGGAGGCAGCGCCCCACTTGGTGGCGCCGCCTGAGGGTCCTTGTGGTAGAAGCTCCAGCTTCGTTGATGACTGAAGGGTGGGCGTAGAAGAGAAAAGACCAGGAACCAGAGGGCTTCTCGGCGCCCAGGGCCGGCAGCCCCCGTGTGCGGAGCTAGAGCCAGAGCCGCCTCTCGCAGCCATGCGAGCGGGAAGGGAAGCGAGGGGACCACAGCGCTCTGCTCCCCGCCCCCAACCACTCGGTTCCAATATTTCGCAGAAAGGCACGCGGCTCCTAATCGGTCCTTTCCGGGCTGAGATTTAGCCGCGCGATGCC